CATTGTCCATCCTTCCCCTCACCTGGCCTTGTGAGTAAGGTAAATAGTGCCAGGACAATCAGAGCATGAAGGCTTAGGGGGGTCTCTCAGTCAGTGTCCACAAAGTTCCTGTTAGCATGCTACTGACCCTACTTGCATGGTCCTTTCAAGGCCAACAGCTCTTGAAGCACAAGAATCTGAGCCTTGGCTTCCAACTAACCAGAGTTCTGAAGACAAATAAGAGTTGCATTGATAAAGTATAGAAAAAACAAAAGGAAATGCCAGTCCATTCAAACACTGAAAGGCTTTATGTTCACTTTGATTAACTGATTTCACTGCCCTCTTCTATACTGCCCACTAAACACAGATTCGGATGGCAGTCAATAAAGCAGTGCAAAACATACAAATAATGTATATTTAAGACTAGATTTCCATACATTAAAGGGAGAATTCTGAATTGGAGCACTACTTGATGTTCAGAAGGGACAAAGAACTTTCTTATGCATTTTTATATACCTTTGAAGGGAGGCTAGAGTCTGGAAATACTGGGTTTCCCAGACTATCATAAAAGGCATTACATCATTTGAATATGCTATCAACTCCTAAATGCAGATGCTGCAGTATTTTTATTGACAGACTTTACTCAAGCATTTTTTCACCTATAAGATTAATTTTACATTTTCACTTATGAATCATGGGATCTTAGCTAAAATTATGCAAGTGATATCATTATGTTATCATAGACAAATCTATTCTGTCATAGAGCTTAAAAAAATAGAAATCTATATTTGTTTTATTTACTGTTTTGTTCGAATTGTATTACATCTGAATGATTCAGGAAGCCTCCATCTTGAATTGTCCTTATTCTATATCATATAACACTTGCTGTTTTTATGATTTATTCTAGTTTCTGCTTTCTGCTCTGAACCCTAAATTATCACCCACTCAAATAAAATTTGCAGTTCTAATTGGGGTTTCTAATGAATTCTCTCACTCAGTAATCTATCCCTACCTGTTCTCTTTTTCTGCCATATACCTTTCAAAACCTCTTTTAAATCCAGTTGTTCACCAAACTCTTGCCCTATGTATTAATCAGCCATAACTTATTATATTATTCTGACTTTGTAGGCTATTCTTACTACTAATAATTTATGAAATAAAAGTTATAAAACATTTGACCTTCAGAGAACAATACTGTAAGGTAAATCCATGTTCTCACCATCCAATTTAAGAAATAGTACTTTATTTTTTATACTTTCTTCTTATTGTTTTACTGAGGGTACAATGCAACATTTACAAAATTTCTTACAATATATCATAGTCGAATTCACCCCTCCATCATTCTCCTTTATCCTCCCTCCCCCCATTCCTCATTTTTCCATTTACATAACATATATACAGAATATTTCCACCATATTCATCCTCCAGCCCTCTTCTCTTATATCTTCCCCTTCCCACTGGAATCCATTCCCCAGACAGGATCTGTTATCCTTTCTTGTTTTCTGTTTTTGTAAAAAAAAAAAAAATGTCATTTTTATTTGTTTAAGATAGCTATACAGGGTGTTTCATTGTGACATTTCCATGCATATATGTATTATAACCCAAATAAGTTCATTCTCTCTATTTTTCTCCTTTCTACCTTAATCCCCTTCTTATGGTGATTTCAACACCATTTAAAAATTCTGTATTAATTCTTGTATCCAAAGTATATCAATCATATTCACCTTCTTAACTTCCTTCTTTTACCCTCCCTTTCTTTTATGTGACCTCCCCTTAGCCTGACCTGTTTTTCATAATATTGCTTGTACTGTATTGGGCCTATATTCTACATATGAGAGAAAATATGTGGCTTTTGGTTTTCTGATCTTGGCTAACTTCACTTAAGATGATTGTCTCCAGTTTCATCCATTTACCTACAAGCCACGAAATTTCATTATTTTTTATGGCTGAATAAAATTCCATTGTATATAAATACCAAATACCATATTTTCTTAATCTATTCATCAATAGTGAGGCATCTTGGCTATTTCTATAGCTTAGCTATTATCAATAATGCTGCAATAAACATGGGTGTTCAGGTGCCTTTATTGTAACCTGACTTACATTCTTTCAGGTATATCCCTAAGAACGGAATTGCTGGATCATATGGCAGTTTTATTTTTAGTGTTTTGAGGAATTTCATACCATTTTTCATAATGGTTGCACTAATTTACATTCCCACCAAGAGTATATGAGAGCTCCTTTGTCCTTACATCCTTGCTGACATTTGTTGCTATTTGTTTTCTTTATGATATAATCTAACAAGAGTAGGGTGAAATCTTAGCATGGTTTTGATTTGCATTTCCTTCATGACCAGGGAGGTTGAGCATGTCTTCATGTGTTATTTGACTGTTTGAACTTCTTCCTTTGAAAGAAGAAGTTCCTCTGTTTAATTAATTTGCTAATTTCTTCATTGGGTCATTGATTTTTTTTAGGAGTTTAGTTTTTTTGAGTTCACTGTATATTCTCATTATTAATCCTTTGTCAGATGAATAACTAGCAAAAATTTTCTACCATTCTGTGGGTTTTCTCTTTAACCTGGTGACCATTTCTTTTGTTGTGCAGAAGCTTTTTAATTTCATGTCATCCCATTTGTTGATCCCTTCTCGTAGTTGCTGAGCCCTTTGAGTTCCATTTAGGAAGTCATTGCCTGTGCTTATTAATTCCAACATATGCCTTGTTCTTTCCTGAACTAGCTTCAAATTTTCAAGTCTTATATTAAAGTCCTTTGTACAGGGTGAGAGACATGGATCCACTTTTAATTTTCCTTATGCAGATATCCAGTTTTTCCCAGCAACATCTGTTGAAGAGGCTGTCTTTTCTCCATCATATGTTTTTGGCACCTTTGTCAAAAATCCCATATGCATAGCTGCATGGATTCATATCCTGGTCTTCTATTCTTTTTTACTGGTCTTCATGACTATTTTTATGCCAGTACCATGCTGTTTTCATGTCTATGGCTCTGTAGTATACTTTGAAGTTGGGTGTTGTGATATCACCATCATTGCAGAAATAGTTCTTTATTACTTAATTTTAAAGTCCTATGTATGTCATACAAGTCCCACACTTTTTTTCTATCCATTTAGAGGTAAACCTCTTATAAATTTATTGTATATGTCTTTCTTTTCTTTAGTTTTCTCACATATTTTTATTCCTACATATTGTTTATTATTTCATTTTAATTGCATGAAAAGTTCCATACTTTCAGTGTTTTTCTGTGATGTTATGTTTACTCAATTTTTATGTTCCTGAGGCTCAATAATGCATTGAGGGGATTGCCTCTGACTCTACTTGTTTCTATATAGTTTTTTCTACTGTTGTGTAGTATTTTTTGTGAAAGTGTCACAACTTATTTATTCTACTACCTGTCAATATGCATTTGGGTTTTTTCAGAGATATTTGTGCTCCAGAGAACACTCATTTATATGTCTAGTGGTACATGTATGCAAGAATTTCGTTATGTGCACACACCTCCTAGGTTATAAAATTTGAACACCTAAGTGTATTAAAACCTCTAAATTATTTTTCACTTACAGTTTTGCTTGTTAACATTTGTACTTGTAATATACACACATTCCACTTGCTCACCAACACTCCATTAGCCATTTGTAAACTATTTTAAATTCAATGGGCTTCAGTTGCATGTTGTGGCATTTTAACTTGGATATCTCATTATTCATGAGTTTAAACATTTCTCATCTGTTTATTTACCATTATATTTCCTCTTCTGTAAAGCACACTTAATAACTTTTTTGCTTATTTTTCTATTTGGTATTTTCACTTTATCATGTGAAAAGAATGAGGTTTTTGTATATTTGAGAAACAATTCCTTTCTCAAGGAATTTTTGGTACATTTTGTGGGATTTTTTTCACTGCCTTTATGTGACTTTTGATGAGTAGAAATTAGTAATTTTAATGTAGTGGTATTTATCAATTTCATATTTTAAAGTTATTGCTTTCTTTTAGTTGGACTTAACATTATCTTTTCATGTTTTGAGCTCCTAAATATATTATATTACCACCTCCTAAAAGTTTTTTATACTGTTTTTTGTATTTAGGCATAATTAACCAGTTTTTGGTAGTATAAGGTGAGAGGTTCAATTTCATGTCTGTCTTTGTGAATAACCAATTCTTATACAGTACATTAATTTATTTTTATAAAGTCTAGCTTGCTGGGCATGGTGGTACATGCCTGTAATCTTAGCACTCAGGAAACTGAGGCAAGACAATTGTGAATTCAAGCCCAACCTGGCCTACATAGCAAATTCCAGGCCAACATGGGCTACATTAAAAGAGTACCCTGTCTTTTCCTGACTGATCTGCTATGCCAGCTTCATGATATCTCAGATGACTTTTTATGTCAATTGTGTGCACATAGATTTTTCAAATATTAGAGAGAGAGATTGGGATTCTGTATTTTGCTACATTGGTCCCTTTTCTCTTGTACTAATATTATATTCTTAATCATCAAGTTTATCAAATGAATCTTGACAAAGCAATTTCACTAACTTTGTTCCTTTTTCTATGTATATCATAGCTATGCTTGGCTTTTGCCACATAAATTCTAGAATCAACCTTTCAATCCACACACATACATAAACACAATATTTGGGGACATTATTGGAATTGCATGGAATCCATAAGTAAACTGTATTAAATTTAGCTGTTTATTTTACTTTCCAAACCACCACCCAACTTCCCAATTTCTTAATGTTTATACACATTTGTTTCAGATCTAATTTAGCTAATTGTATATATATATATATATGGTCAGGCACTTGATCATATTTTCAGTTCATGAAGAGAAAGAATATGACCACTCCAGAAAGCTACAATTCACATTGAATTTGAATGATGAATAAGTAAATGTCATACAACATTTTCATAAGCAAAGGGAAAAAAGGAAATATAAAATTCCAAGATTTATTTTTCTCAAATGTTCTAATACCTTCTATTCTGTACTATTTTTTTTATGTTTTCAGATATTAACATGGCAGGAGAACCCAAACCATACAGACCAAAACCTGGAAGCAAGAGGCCCCTTTCTGCACTTTACAGGTAAGTAGACAAGCTATATATAATAATTTCTTACAACTTTATGAGGCAGTATAACATGTAAGTCATCAACTATTTTAAATAACAATATCTGCTCTACTTTAAGCATAAGAAAATTTTGTTGTCAACATGAAGATGTACCACACAGCATTGGCAATGATCTTAGGATACCTCACATTCTATAATTGTTAGTCACTTTCCATTGCTGTGACAAAATACCCAAAAAAAGCAATTCACGGGAAAGATTTATTTTGGCTCATGATTTCAAATATTCAATCCATGCCAGCTGGCTCTATTGTTTCTGTGCCTGTGGGGAGAAAGTATATCATAGTGAAAGAAAATGCCAGAGCAAAGATTCTCACCTCACGGTGGACAGACAGGAGAGAAAGAGGGGAGGGAAGGGCAAAAGGAGGGGAAAGGAGGAGAAAGGGGAGAGAGAAGGAGAGAGAGAAGAGATTAAGGAGCCAGGGACATGATATACCCCTCAAAGGAATAATTCTTGTGACCTTCTTTCTCCAATCAGGCCTCATCTCTTAACAGCACATCTAGTATGAATTTACTACTCTCATGGTCCAATAATTTCTCATTAGTGTCACAAGCTAGGGACCAATTCTTCAAAACATGAACCTTTTGGGGAAACCCTTCACATCTAAACCATAACAAAAATCATTCTGCAAGGTACTTCTCTAATAAAATCTAATAAAAATCCTTCTAACAAGCAGAAGGATAAATTTTATGGGCTGTCTACTACATACCATAGACTGTAGGTGTTTTGCATATGCTGTTTAACTTAACTTCCATATCAATCTCATGATGTAGATTAAGGACCTGAGATTTAGTTTCCTGGTAATTTTTCTCAAGATCATACCACTGGTAAATGAGGATACCAGTACTCAAGCTCATGCCTTCACATGCAACATCCCAGATTCTTTCCAATCATTCAGCCTCTTTGGTTATAAAATACATGTCTCTTTTCTGTGCCTTTTTCCAAAATGACAGATACAGCTGTTTTCTTCAGAGAGACAGATCCCATTCCTTTAACCTCTCCAACAGTCCCTGGATTTGAGTAGACATTCTGCTTTTTTGTTTCTACATGCCTCAGTTTCCCAGTGTTCATAACTATATTCAAAATTCCAGTTGGCTATCACAGATTAGATTTGGTGCCTTTCTTGCTCTGCATAGCATCTGTTAACTGAAGTAAAATTCAATTGATTTCAGGAAGAAAACAAGAGTAACCTCATACAACTTTCCATCCCTTAAAAATAGCCACATCTGAAAAAAAATATGCTGTGTTGTTGAAACATATGTCCCACTTCATGTACCTTTGCCACTGGTTTTTTTACTGTAAGTGCTGACTTTGCATCTGTCTCTGCAAAATTCCCTTTTGTTAGATTTAGCCACTGTTCCAGTCTATTGATATAGACTATCATCCAATTTCTTGGGTCTTCTCCCAGAAACGGAAGTGTTGAGCAAGGTTTTTCTATGTCACTGATATCATTTGGATAAAGGAGAATTAAGTTAAATGTGTTAAATTGGATTATATTGTGATATAGTATAGTGTGAAGAATGCTCTAAGAGAGCCTTGAGCTACTTGTCTTTGTTTTTTGAGATCTAGCATATTTCTTTTTCAGCCATGTACAGCCTCATTTCCCAGACTATAAATTAAGGGTCAGAACGAGATCACCTGTAAGGTTTGATTCATACGAGAGCTATCTTATGTGTGACTGTCAGAGATTTTCAAATCTACATTGAAACATTGAAAACTGTAGCTTAATTTCTCTTGGTATTGCACATGTTTAAATTTATTTGATCTTACTGAAATATTTTTATATAAAATGGAAAGCAACAGAAAAAAAGAAATGCTGATAACTGGCCATAAACTAACATTGACAGGAAAGAGCAGTGATGAAATCATCAATAAAGTCAGATGACACTTTTTGTACTTTGAGGTGAAGGACAATGTTTATAAAGCTGAACAATGCAATTTTTCCAAGCCAAACTGTATCCATCTTTATTAAAGATATTTTCACAAACAATCGTGGGCGGGACATGGACAATTTTTTCATAGAACAACTTTCAAACTCCGTTCTTGAAAGGACTACCAAAATCAGTAATCCATTACAAATCCCAGTGATGTCTTCATATGAAGCTCTGAACAGGGGAAGTTTAGAGTGAGGGTTGACATTTCACATTAAACATACTGTTTAACAATTTTTCATGAGCTGACCCTGACTTTTAGGAAATATGATGAAAATGGCAAAATTATCAAACTGAAGAAGCAGTCTAGAAAAAGCACCACCGTTCTTTGGGAAACACCATCTCAGTGACGTCACTGGAAAGTCCAGATTGCCTGACATAGTGGCAAAACCTATTTTGAGTGTCAGGTCCCAGCAGGCCTCTGTTTCTGAGGCAGTTAAATCTACACTGATGATGGAGGAGAAGGTCATAGAAATGAATTTGAGTTTTCCTATATCACAAGGCATTTGTGCCACGGTGTCTGACTATATGTGGTAATGTCAGTGAATCTCTCCTGTTGGGACTTAAGAGGAAGTCTCAAAACTAGCAGGGAAAGATGTTTTCCCAACTTTGATCCAGCTTGGAAGACATTTGTTTAGTGACACATATTCCTTCTCCCCAAAACAATGAAGCTAAGCAACATAGCTTAAAAAAAAAAGTAAAAGTCTACATTTGTATAAAACTTGATAAAAATAGTATGTCAAACTTTGCAGTCATCAGAAATATAGTTATCAAAATGCACACATTCACTTGGCATCTCCAGCACCTTTAGCTGTCTGTGCTGTTTGAAATCTCTGTTTTCTGCAGGGTTATTTCCATCCTCTCCAGCATCAACTTTTCCCTTTTATCTTTGGATACCTTCTCTCTCTTCTTTACAGAGGACCCTTTAGACTTGGGCTCTGTCTTTGCAGGGGCACATTTAGCAGACAACCTGTGGATCTTTCTCTGACTTGTCCTTCACCTTGGCTTTATCTCCTTTAGCGTTATCTTCAGCCTTTCTTTTGGACATAGTGGAGGGGAGTGGCAGTGGAGGCTCTGAACTCGGATGCAATTGCACACAGCTTTGATTGGTCCAAAAAGAATCATTTTTAAGTGTGTACATAGAGCTGCAACTAATGTAGAACATTTGAAAAGTCATATATTCAATTACTAACAAATCAAGCTAGCAATGCTGAATTCAAAGAGTTAATAGTGTCTTCATAATGATGCTAATTTTCATATTTTTCCTGATCTAGGATTGTTTTAATTTTCTTATGAGAATGGAAATTTATGACAAGAAACAAATATCTTTTTAACTGCTAGTTCATTATTGCTAAGTTATGTTGAATTATGAATTAAAAAAAATTAGAAGTGGAATTTAATTTAAATGTGCTATATTGTATACAAATCACATTTGTAGGGGAAATGCTTATTTATTCTATTTTCATTTGTTTATATAAATTCAAGTTGAGGTACTCTGATAGTACTTTAGTGAAAGACACTAAAAATAAAAAGGAATGAACCTGCAGCTGAAAAATCTCTTTTATACCCATTTTCTCATTCTTACATAAGTCTAATAATACTTTACTTTTATATGGAAAACTGTTTTCATAGTCATTATTCTTCTGTTCATTGTAAGACTCCACAAGGCTAGAATGAGAAGCCTTGCTATATAAATGAGAAGTCTGTTTCCAAGACAATAAAGAATTTGCTCAAAGGAAGATAACAAGATTAGGAACTGAACTCTAGTCTTCAGCCTTCAAGTCTAGTGATCTTGCCACTGGATCATAGCTCCTTATATTATCTTACCTGCAACCACCTAACAAATACAGATTATTTTAAAAACAGAGCTTTTCCAGTTAACAAAACTAATAGTCACATTTCTGTCTATACACAGCACAGCTGCAGGTGGCAGAGGAAAAACTATATAAAAGACACTTCATAAGAACAAGATGATTCATACCTGTTTGCGTAACTGTGAGGCATGAATTTTGAACTTCAAGTTGTTTATGTAGCATAGTACTTGAAAAATTTTCTTGAGAATATATAATTACATAATTGTGAAGAAAGCATCTAGTTCAGTGTAAGGAATATGGCAGTAGCTTTAAAAGGCAATGGTCTCTACTTTCTTATTGTTTATGTCTTTGAGTCCTATTTTTCCTTATCTTAGATGAAATAGCTGGATTCATTCTGTCATTTTTTCATTTATTTATTTACTCATTCATTGAAGACTTATGTCACATGGTCTGAAGATGGTGATGACTGCTTTTCTAGGCATCTGGCAACAAATATGCTGAACTACAGGGCAAGGACAGAGCATAGTGAAATAAAAGTTATTTGTATAGTTAAAGGTAATCTCTAATTTATCTTCCTTCTCTAAGCTTCTGTGTCTCTATTACTGTCCTCTTGGGGCCTGTAACTGATCCACTGTCACATCTTCCTAATCTATATCCACCACCATAATTCACCATGATGGGATATTGACAAAGAATAACCACTGCTGTATTTCTTATTTAAGAGGTTTTTCACTTTAGCCAAACAATCTTCATTAAGTGATGATGGCATACATAGACGATGCAAAATAAAATGCGGTGAGGCTTAAAAATCTGTCTTATGAATGAATCAGATGTACAAATAAATAAGAACAACCCAGGGAATGTATGCATACATGTCCATAAGAAAATAAATTAGAGAACTATTGATTTTTAGCTAAGGGGAAGGAAGTGAAAAGTATGAAAAAGTTATAGGAAGAAGATGATACTTGATCTGGCTCCTGAACAGGCAGGCACTGGTTCTGCAGAGAAAGGGAAAGAAGAATATGTAGAGCAAAGAAAACATGTCCAAGGGCAGAGGCACAGAGACAAAAAAAGAACATCTCCTGATAAGAGCTAAGATGGTTTATTTGGTGTAGAATGGATAAAGAGAATACTATGGTGGTCCAGGCTGTGAATATCCCTATATATTTTATTAAGGAAATTTGGCTTCTATTTGACACACAAGGAATTATT